CCGTGTTGACCATCTGCAAGTCCCTCACGGAACATTTTCCATCTTGGCTGTCATGGTCCATGGAAAAATGAGTTTTGACAAGGCTACACGGCATGCTAGAATGGGTCCTGAGCATTCACATCAAGAGGGATATTTTCTTGACGGTTTTCTGAAATCACCTACCATGCTTCTTCTTCCCGTAACACGCGTGTCTTATGAATCCATTTTTTCGCATTCTCCAGTGCATCGCTAAATCCTTGTTCAGGCCATGTATCTCTATGTTCTTTATTAAAATCCGCCATTTTGATGGTTTTCCTTTCCATGCATTTATCTTCAAAACGAGCGCAGTGCCTTAGGGACATTGAGAGGATGATCCATATTTTGGCACTGTTCAGTGTTCGAAGACTGAGCATTGGTTCGTGCGTTGGTGGTCATACTGGAAAGAGCAACAGTCCATTATTTTTGCACAATTCAAACAACATGGTAGATCAGATGATTGAATATTACAATATTTGGTTGGCTCGTGTCTCACAGGCCTCCTTCAAGATAAAGAAGTGGGTGAGCTGGCGAAGTAGTCCTTCTTCCCGTTTACAGCAGCAGCGGTTTGTACGCTTGGAGTCTGGAAGCTCATGCTCATCGTTCGCGTTCAGGATGCCGATGAAAGATTCTGAAGGCATGTGACAGGAGACGAAATGCCTTCACACACAAGGTTCACCTAATACGGTGCCGATGCATAGACTTACAACCGATTTTTAATTTCTACCACCTTCAATTCAGCTGCGGAACATGTTTACTCTTTGAACTGAAATACAAAACGGCTCTAGTTATTTGATTAACAGATTTGTAGTAAGCGAGAGGGAGCGTTAGTGTTAAGTCAAATTAACCAGGACTTATTATTGTACTGAAAGCTAGCTAGTAAAATTTATCTTTGGGTTGCTTTTGCAGAAATATGCATAAGCAAAGTTGACGTAGACGAGTGATAATTTCTAATTAATCGACTAGTAACAATTAGCAATAATAATCTGCGCAAGCAGTGAGGATCGTCCAAAACCGGCACCTGATAACAATCCCACTGAAAATCCGGTTTTGAATCAGTAAGATGTTGCGTAGAGCCCACATTTCGTTGACTGCCGTTAGTGCTGCCCATCGATAGAATTTGAACCTTAGTATATGGTGGGCAAATTGTCAAACTCCGCAAACAAGCATATGCGTGTTTCACTCGGCGGATTTGAGTCTTCCTTATTCTTTATTGTATATCTTTAAAAAAGCATTCGGTTTTTCATCATAATGCTCTGCCGGGCAACTGAAAAGATGGCCATTTGAATGGTGCATATTAAAGACGAAACTATTTGTGCGTATGTCGATCCTCATTCAAATGCTCATCTATGATCATGAGTCTTGGGTCATGACTGAAAACTGTGATCTCGGGTACGAGGACTTGAAACAGGTTTTCTGTGATGAATCTCATAACTCAAGCATCTAAGCAGAGTCCAGAATTCAAATTTTGCAAATTGATTGCGATGGTTCTGTCTTTTTCTGTGAATGCTTCCAGAAGGGAAAGCAAATAGCTACTTCTTGCTCTACCGCATGGCGAAGACCACGGGGACGGAAAAGAATGATGATGCTTTTATATACCGGATCGCTTATCTTTTCTGGTTACAGGAGCATCGTCAGCCAGTGCCTGAGCTTTGGCAGAAATGGACCGAGCTTGGAGTAGAAAACGTCGAGAACATTCTTCATTGTCCCCGGTGCCTTCCGCCAGTTGGTCGAGCAAGCGATTAGCTGTTGCTAACAAGTCACATTTCTGTTGTCAGGTTTTGAAGTATTTTGAAAAGATTTCTGTGTCTTCGTGCCATATGCCGTTGCACAGCACTGTCCGTTACTGGTTATTCATCATATTCCCAGCTTATTTTAAACCTAACCTACTCATCTGAAACTTACTTTGTCATCAGCTGCTGAATCGCACCAAGAATCGAGATCCTAGCCGAAATGGTACATTGGCTTGTTAAAATCCTTGATCACATTATTTGCCACATTACTCAAAGCACTGCTCCTCTTTGACCATGAAGGGTTCCATCGAAATTTTTATAAACATAACAGCCAGATAGAACAGCCAGAATATATGCCTGACAATCCCCTGAAATATCGCTGATCAAAATCGACTGATCGGCCCCGATGATCGACTGTTCTTAGAATAGCCTGCAGGAATAAACCACGAATACCAAGGGAATCTGACACCTCCGTTAATATCGTTGCTGTTTCAGATCGTGCGGCAAAACGTGCCGGAGTTCGACACGACGCTAGACGTGGAAGACTTCGCTGACAGCGCCATGATTCCTGATGTAGATTTGAAGAAGATGGGCTTAAGGGGCGAAGGTGATCCGCTTCTGAAGGCGCGCAAGTTCGAAGGAGACATCCTTGGTATATCCAACTCGGAAGACGTCAAACTTAGCCGGGTGCCCGACGGCGCGGCTCGTAGCGCTATCCGTGACAAGTGGCGACGTTGGCCGACGAAGGAAATACCGTACGTCTTGTCCAGCCGTTACGGTAGTTACAGTAGGAAAGTTATTGCCAAAGCGATGGATCAGTACCACAAAAAGACGTGCATCCGATTCGTTCCCCGCGATCCTCAGAAACATACCGACTACGTGTACCTCTTTCCCGATGATGGATGCTATTCTTTGGTTGGACGGTCCGGAGGACGTCAGCCGATCTCACTTGACCCCGGTTGTATGGAGGTAAGTGGATACACTACCCTTATCTGGCATGCACGGAAGCATTAATTTTATGCTCGTTTCAATAATACATATGCTAAACATAGGGGCAGGGTCGGTTGGTCGCCTTGCCAAATAGCCAAACAGGGCGATTCTGCGACGGACAATTATTTTTAGTGAAGAATTATCAAGACGAATGGGATGGCAGTTACGGTTGGAATGACGTCACGCAGATCTGAGGTTGGCAAGCTACCTGTGAGTCCTCAAATGCCACCAGCAGCGGCAGCGGCACTATCCCTTTGATTGACTTATTCGTTTCAGTAAGGCGGTTACTTTGCTACCTCGAAAGATCTGCTTTTATAGGAATCAGTCTGATTGCTTTTCTTGTCTCAGTGTTTTACATAAAATCTATCTATTGAACAGTTCAGAATGCGAGGCATATGAAAGTACTCTCAGAGCCATAATTATTACGGTATTTTATCCGCGGACATTAGATTTCAAATTAAGATGTATGCAAATGGAATTTTACGATGCCTCGAATTTTGAGTCTGGCAGGTTTTATTGCATTGGTCAAGTTGCTGACAAATAAAGGATAAATTTGAGCCATTGTCCAAATCATGTATGCCAGTTGCTACACTTTGAATCCGTTGACCAGCTCTCCATTCCCCATTCTCATGGTTGACGGTTTTCAAACGGGTGCTCTGAATCGAACGACATAAGCGCCCGTTGTCTCACGGTCTGTTTCACGAAGCCGATCAATTTGGCGGCCAAACTAACCCGTTCTTTACGTGTACGTAGCAGGTAGAGTGTTTGCACGTCGAGCATCTGACATAAGCTTGCCAAAGTTGACACACGCCGAAGGACTTCCGCGTAGCAATTTTTTAGCCATGTTGACAATACCTCTAGATTTGTTGAAACCAAGCAAGTGTGCCCAAATGTGGGCAGGTGACAGGTTCCCAGTCTACTTCGTGACTACAGGCATGTGTGCCTGAAGTACGTAGCAGTTTTCTGCCACCACCATAACCATTCTCAGATTTCAAACGAGGAAGTAAAATTTGTGCGCGTTGTTTTAGGCCAAAACTTGGAGTATGGTTTTAGTTTATTATTTCCTGAGTGAAGGCGTAAGCATGTCCATTTTTAAGATGGTATTTAGTATATAATGATGATAATAAGAGCGAGATTTTTTAGTGCGTTGGTAGTACTGAAAAACAGGAAAAACAATGTATTAAACACAACACAAAATGGTGGTCAATCAAGTGATTAGTAGATGTTGATATTTTTATTTGTCACGTTCTTTCTCTGCTACAAACTTATCATCTGCACAAACAACCTGAAAAGCTACCAGACTTCGCTAAAGTTTTTCCCTTGAAGATGGACTGCGGTTGATCGATGCTGGTCGTCGACCATCCCCCTGGTCACTTTATAGCATTGCGTTCAACAAAACCATTCCTTAAGCGGTTTTTCACCTCGCGTCTCAACGCTACCTTGTTTCTACCTCGTATCTCACCTTTACTATGCTTAAACGACCTTTTCAGTAGTCCATAGCATCATGGTATTTGAGTAACTGCTGCGAGTGCATGCTCTGCCGCATCTCAACGGTGAATCGAGCAGAGAGGTGTTCGAACATCAGCTGAGTTGGGCTGGGCGTGGCGGGGCCGCTAGAGAGCCAACTGAAAAGTGCCGCAACCAGCTGAAATTTGGCATAATCATCAGCATTTATCGATTCGTTGCTGGATGAAGATCCACCTAATTATGACTCCTGCCGCACCCCTGTTGCGCGAACAAATTTCTTCAATCCGTTTTGTAACTGATTAGGAGGTTTTCACACTTGCCATTAACCACCTCTGAGCCCAGTCTAATTTCTCCTTGGTCCAGCGATGGCCAGCTATTGTTGTCACGTGTCCTGTCCATTTCAACGTCATTGGCGAATGCTGATCGTGCCAA